GGGGCAGCGGGGGGTCGCGCGCGGCTCCCTAGGGCGTCGCGACGGGTCAGCGGGGGCCGAGCGCGGCTCCCCAGGACGTCGCGACAGGGCAGCGGGGGCCGAGCGCGGCTCCCCAGGGCGTCGCGACGGGGCAGCGGGGGCCGAGCGCGGGCTCCCCAGGGCGACGCGACGGGATAGCGGGGGTCGCGCGCGGCTCCTCAGGGCAGCGCGACGGGGCAGAGGCAGCGCCCACGGGCGACACGCGGCTCGGCAGGGCAGCGCGCTGGCTGCAGGGGCGGCTCTCGGGCCTGACGGGCCTGCAGAGGCGGCTCGGGGGGGCCTGACGGGTCTGCAGAGGCGGCTCGGGGGCCTGACGGACCTGCAGGGGCAGCTCGAGGGCCGTACTAGCTTGCAGGAGGCAGCGCGAGGGCTGCAGGACGGCACGCGGGCAGACCGAAGGGCAGGTCGCACGGGGGCGCACGAGGGCGCACGTAAGGTAGGGCGCACGAGGGCGCACGAGGGCGCACGAGTATAGAAAGGCGCACGAGGGCGCACGTAAGGTAGGGCGCACGAGGGCGCTTCTAGCGGAATAGTGGGCCCGTAGGAGAAAGCGGTCCGAGGTAGCAACCTAGGCTCGTGATACCATGTTAGAATGTAGAACTGAACGAGAATGTGTGAAACTAGGCAGCAGGGTGATACAAGTAGGAAACCCTAGCAATGTTGTACCCCCTAAGGCTAAACCCACTATAGCCTACACAATATGAACATGTATAATGTTTGACACTGACAACAGGCGCTCGCATACAGGCTATATCTATCGCCTCGAACCTATCGGACCTATTTCCTGGCAGTCGAGTAAGCAGGAGTTAATCGCTCTCTCCTCAGCCGAAGCAGAATATATCGCACTCTGCTCAGCCACCAAAGAAGGACCGTACCTTCGCGAACTTCTGGAGGAGGCGAAGCTGGCTCAGTTACCCAGCTTCTCCTTGTTCTGCGACAACCAGTCGGCAATTCGCATAGCCAACAAAAACGGATTCGCGAACAGGACGAAGCATATCGCTCTGCGATATTTCTTCGTAAAGGACGAGATCGAGAAGGGGAGACTTGAGCTGTCTTACTGCCCCACATCCGAGATGGCAGCTGACTACTTGACAAAGAAGCTCGGAAAGTCGAAGTTTGAATATTGCATGCTGCTGACTGGACAAAGCCACGTCATCAGCAGCGACACTCCAGAAGCGAAGGGGAGTGTTGGAAACAGTTGATTTAAGCGCTTCTATCGTGTCGAAACACCAAGTCAGAAGCGAAGCAGAACATATCGAAGCATCAGCGAGTCAACCCTCGGAGGTTGAACAACTGCTGGAGGTTACGCGAAAGTCGAAGGTCAGCGACCCTTGACCTGATAAGTACAGCGCGACAGCAAGGACAAACAACTGACTCGCTACTGAGCAGTTGCCCGAGTCGACACTGTATTGAACCGCAACAGCAACAGTAAAACGGTTATTAACCGTATCTCTTCATATTCCCTGTATCCTTATAAAAGCTTGTATCTCTTTGTTTTAATCAATCTACTTTGCCCTCACATACTAGCGCAAGGTGGTTCATAAGTTCTCATTAAGACGCTTCCGCTATTACATTGTCCTACCCCGAATTTAGTCCTGCAAAGATCCTAAGGGCCTTTCTCAGCCCAACATGAATCACCTACTAAATTACCTTCTACCCAAGAACCCCACTTTCCTCCAATAAATAATTCAAAGGTCTGAGCCAGACGAAACGGAGGAGCAGGATGATAATGACAAGGCAGCAGGTAAGGAAGAGTCTTGGAGGTCCTTGAACCTGGATCTCCTTCCTGGCATGATACGGCATGAAAGAAGACTAGTGTAGGATCCCTCTCTCTCCTTATCTCCATGTTCAAAAGCCTCACACCACCCCCTAGAAGATGCGGGCGAGTCTGTTACGTTTGAGGCTTCATCTGAAGTTTTAGAGGGCAGCGACGATGGGGACGGGAATTCGCCCTCACTATCAGCCTGGTCGGAGGTTTTGCTTTCCCCATCCACTCCGTCATCTCCGTCAACTCCGTCAGCACCGTCACCAGATGTATCCTCGACAAGCGATGACTTAGTAACGTGACTTGCTATGGAGCTAGGTACACCACACTCCTCCGACCTTGCATGCTTAGTTTCGATGTTGTCACCACAGATTGTTGATAAATGAGAACCCGTGATTAGCGGGGAATGTCCCTGTAGCCGGGATCTTCTGGTTTGCCGGGATCGTCCAGGTGTTCTCACAACGGCCGCTTGCGCGTCGCACGGTGCTGAAGAGGGCAGCACATTACTCTGCGATCGCGGAATCTTAGCCAGATTTGCAGCCACTAATTGCGGACTATCGGCAGGGGCGTTCGAGTTTAGGGTTTGGCCGTTGTTCTGGCGGTCAGTTGCGGGCCCGCCAGGGCTGGTCGTTGGTGAAGCAGGTTCGCTCTTCGCCGATTCTGTCGCAGCTTCTGTTGCGACAACGACACTCAATGCTCGCGGCATGGCGACAGCGTTCGTCGAATTCTCCCAACGCTTCCTGGTTTCGCTTTGGGCTGTCGCCGGGCGTAACTGCCGCGTTTTTGGTCGCTGCGATTGTACTTGCGACGGAGCATACGACGGAGTGTGCGACGGAGCATGCGACGGAGCCTCCAACCGAGGCGGAGCGAGCTGCTTCTTCAACCATGGATGCTCCAACACGCCGATTATATCAACTCTCTCCATCGGATCTGCCGTTAACATCCGACGGATTAAATCCTTGGCTTCGAACGAAATCGACGGCCAAGGTTTCGGCAGCAGATCTGACGGCAGCAGTTTGCGATTGTCGTTGGGAAAGGCTGGCCAGTTCGCAGAGAGCATCGAGTAAAGCAACACGCCAAGCGACCAGATATCTGCGCAGTAGTTATACGGCTCGTGCGCCAGAACCTCGGGCGCTTCGTACGGCGCACTTCCCGCTGCTCCGATAATAGCCGAACCCGGTTGTAACGGAAACGCCAGTCCGAAGTCTGCGAGCCGGAGTTGCAAATCTTCCAAACGAGGGGATTTTTCTGTATCGTCGCCGTCGGAGGAGGCGGGGGAAGCGGGGGACGAAGAGGGGGACGACGAGCCGCCACGCTTTGCGGGCACGGCGGAGTTGGGAGATACCGCCGCCGGCGGCGGAACGATAAGAATGTTTTCAGGCTTAATGTCGCGATGCACGACGCGGTTGATGTGACACCACCGCACAGCCCTCGCTAACTGCACGAACAGCCGCGCCGCCACGGACTCCTCCAGCCCCTCGTGCTCCGCTATAAGCGCGAACAGATCGCCTCCCGCGCAGAGCTCCGTTATCATGTAGACCGCTTTGTCGTCTTCGTAGAGGCCGCGTAAGCACAGCACGTTCGGGTGCCCCCGGAGAATCAGCATTGATTGAACTTCTCTCCGCAAATCAGCGAGCTCCACGTGTGACATTCCGCGTTTGCGGACCTGCTTACACGCAAGGGTTTCCCCCGTTATTCTATCCTGGCAGCGCCAAATGCGGCCAGACTGGCCCTCTCCAAGGATGTCGCTGAAAACGTAACGATTAAAGAGCTCTGACGTCGATAGCGCCATGGCTGATGGACTATCATGCACAGATATCTCTACCTTCTGCGCTTCTTATGTACTCCTAAGAAAAGGGACTAGGAAATGTAAATACGAAGAACCGAGCCTTTCTTTCGATGGGGCGAGTGGACGGGCAAGATGGGAATATAGAGCGGAATGTTTCTGGACAACGATGCGTGCGTAAGCGGTAAACTAGCATTGGCTCATTTCTCAAGGTTCCTTGGGTTCTTGGGGCCCGTCCGACTCTCGCAGCCAAGATGCCGTTCGTGTACACCCCCCAGGAACCGTACTGCTGTCGATGTAACTTCATCTCAACAAAGGTGGCAAAGGTGGTGAATGAGGTGGAGTAAATCTTAGGAGAGACAACGCCAACAGCGGTGGCCACAGGCAAGAGGGAAAGCATGCAAATGGCGAGGTTGGTTGGCATTTCGTTGTCCGTTTGAGCTGGCATGCTGTTGTTGTTGCTCGCATGCTGAAAAATGATAAACACGATGCTGCAGCAGCGGTTTACCGAGCTGAAGTCCCACTCGCCCACTCCAACCCAGCCCAAGCACGTGGGCCATCTTCCCCGCTCCCCCTACCTTCCCCGTTTCCTGCAAATTTGAAGGGGGAAGGTTGGGAACTTGGGATTGGGGGATATGCTGTTCTACAGTGGCAATTTCATCCCACCCGCGGCTCCCTGCTGGTGTGCTGTGCTGTGTTCGCTGTTCCGCCACGCTATTCCCCCTGGTTTGCTCCTCCCCGCTGACCCCCTGACATGAGCAGCATTGTGGCGCCCCTGCTGCTCCCCTCCCTCCCCCCATTGGTCTGGTTCGGTCGGTTCCCCTCCCTCCCCACCTTCACATCATTGAATGAGTCATCTCTTCGTACACCCTGCTGGTCGACTTGTGCTGCATGCAGTGAAGGAGGCGCTGTGTTTGAAATGGGAAAATGATTTTGGCATAATTCAATCAGCGGCGGGCAGAACTAAGGCGTGTTCTATGACCCACCACCTTTCCAATGACAACCTCAAGGCCGCCATGGCTGATCCTGAGAACTTCGCGCGTGTCAATGTCCAGCAATTTCTTGACATTTGTCGATTTGGAACCTAGATTCGTACTCCTTAAGACTTTAAGAGTCCGTTGGTACATTTTTGGTGTTCATCAGACGAACATTTACCATTCGGCCTTATTGTCAGGCACTTTCCAGGTCCACATCGACAATGGTTTCTGCTGGGTGCGAGACAGTTCCAAGGGACCATGCCAGTCTATTTCCAAGGGTGTTCGAACCGAGGCGCTTCACAAGGTCATTCTATACTATTTATACAAGCGTTGGTGGAGGGACAATCGCAAGTCAGGAAGGGAGCTTCCAGTGCTCAGTTTCTCTCCGCTCTCAACTACCGCATTATCCAGCTGCTCTTATCATCATCGCACTATGGCTCCTCCTGAAGGGACTCCCGTGGTGGACGCTTCTGTCGCGGGTCAGCATGGCAAGAAGCCAACGGAGATCCGTCCTGAGCCGGTCACCCCGAAAACGCTTTTCAATGGCGCGACGGCTTCGCGTGGTGATGACGCTATCAACACACTGACAGCGCGTACGTCGGCGTTGCGTATCAACGATCTGCAAGAGGAGAGCGGAAAGTCAAGCAGCCATAAGGAAGAAGGCAAGGTATCGGTTGCTCCGCCTGCAAGCTCAAGCGCGGTGGAAAACGGGAAGGCTAAGGTCCAGGAGGAGGATGAAGACGGCGGTTACCTGAGCGACGACCCGGATGAGTGTCAGGACCCAGTTGTGATGAATGACATTGCGGCTCAAGCAGGGGTCGCCATCACGCTGCTGGTTCCCTTCGCCTGGAGTAAGGAGATTCCGCGCATCATTGGAACGGTCTATCACCTGCTGAGGATGTGGGGGAAACACATGTCGGAGAATGCAAGCGCAACGACAAGATGTCAGCAACTCACGGCTACTTTCCTCTCGAAGCAGCACTTCGGTCGAGTCGAGGTGGTCTTCCTGCAGGAGGCTGACGCCAATTTCATGCGCGGAAGGGAGATTGAACATTACACGGTGAATGAGAAGAAGTCAACGCTTGGTTGGCTGCATCCGGAAAATAAGGAGTACCTGAGAGAGCGTGCGGCTCATCCTGAGGCGATTGAAGTCCTGCTGAAAGGGGTCCCGGCGGTGATCTCACCGGCGATGGTCAAGAAGAACCTGGTGACTGCGGTGCTGTTGAAGAGGGGTCGTACTGCTTTCCTGGATGGGTCGGCGTTTCACCGGGTGCTGGATCCGATTTCGGGATCAGACACGGACAATATTAAGGGCCTGGTGTTCAGGCATCCGGGGGATAAGTATAAGTGGTGGCACAAGGTCACCGACCGCGTCCTCGGAGTGGAGCTGATGGTGTCGTTTCCTGCTCTCACCTGTGGTTTCTGCAACGGGATGCATATGTCATGCTTTCATGATGATTATGTGAAGGAGCGGCAGAACAACATTGGGAACTGGAATCTGACGCTGATGCGTGCGCATGAGATCAATGGTAACTCACCTCGCTCTCACCTTGTTTTGCAGGCGGTTGAGAAGATTTGAACAAGAATGAATGAACTATGAAATGAAGTGAGTACAAATATGAAACCCTAATTGGTTGTACCCCCTATGGGATACCCCACTATAGCCTACACAACAGCATAAGCTATAATGTTCTGACACACCCCCATAGGCAAAGTGGGGGAGAACAAGGGGTCAGAAGACCAGTCAAGCAAAGTAAACCAAAGCAAGCTCAGGGTGGATCACAAAGTCACCACACAGTCCGAGCACAGGGTCAAGGCCACACGGCCAGTTCACATGCAAGAGTACACACATATATATAAAGCTAGACAAGCAAGAGCAGGTATATATATATGTGAGAGTACAGGCAAGGTCAAGAGGAGAGCAAGTGAGGCAAGACGGGCACAAGACCCAGCTGAGTGCAGAAGCGCTGATGATCACAAGGCGGAAGTGCCTTGGTGAAGACATCAGCAGTGTTGGCCTCAGAGGCCACGTACGCAAGCCGCAACTGACCACGTTGCTGTAGCTCACGAGCAAGGAAGTAGCGGAGAGCAATGTGCTTTGTTCTGTGCTCCAGTCGCTGCTCTCGACACAAGGCCAGCATGGCCTTGTTGTCTACGTACAGGACTGGAGGAGAACGAGGCGGCTCTCCAAGGTCGGTCAGCAGGTAGGTGAGCCAGCGAAGCTCCTGTGCAGCCATGGCCCCGGCGTAGATCTCAGCCTCACAACTCGAGCCAAGAACAGAAGACGAGCGAGTAGCCCGCCACGAAACAGAGCCGGAACCAAGGCTGAAGGTGTAACCCTGTGACGACCGCTGCGTAGCCTGGTCGTCAGCCCAAGAAGCGTCCGCGTGCCCAGTGAGGACCACTGGACTCCGCCCTCCAAGCACTAGCCCCATGCCCGACGTACTGCACAAGTAGCGCAACACCCTCTTCGCTGCAGCCATGTGCTCTGGTCTGTGTCTCCCAGGAGCAACATAGCGTGCCAGAATGCTAAGAGGGTATGCAAGGTCAGGTCGTGTGCAGGTCATCAGGTACATGAGGCAGCCAACAAGCTCTGGGTACGGGCCACTCGACTCTACGGACTCATCCGAAGGCAGAGCTGAGAGCGAGTGGCGAGTAGACAGAGGAGTGGCCTGAGGCGAGGAGTACGTGAAGCCGAAGCGCTGAAGGACCTGGTGCACCATGTGTGACTGAGTCAGGGTAATGGTGCGGCGTGCTCTGTCCCGGGTGATCTGCAAGCCAAGGTAGCTGCGCAGTTCACCCAGGTCTGTGCACGTGTGTCTCTTCTGCAGCTCGGACTTCACGTAGGCGAGTCCAGCAGTGTCAGCTGTGGCAAAGACCAAGTCGTCGACGTACACGAGGATGTAGAACGGCGGCAGAGAGGTGTCGGTGCGTAGAAACAGCGGGTCGGCAGTAGAAGGAGCAAACCCAAGAGCCGCAAGTGTAGTCCTCAGTGTGTCGTGCCACTCACGTGGCGCCTGGCGGAGACCGTAGACTGGACGCCGGAGACTCCACTGGGTACCAGAAGGGAAAGACCCAGTGAAGCCAGGTGGGCGACGCAGCCAGATCTCCTCGTGCAGGCTGCCCTGCAAGAAAGCTGTGCTGAAGTCAAGAGAGTGCAGCTCGTAGTCACGGTGAGCAGCAACGTGCAGCAGTACCCGAAGAGTGGTCATCTTCGGGGTGGGGGAGAAGGTCTGAAAGTAGTCAACTCCCTGCCGCTGACTGAAGCCACGAGCCACGTAACGCGCCTTGAAGACAGGCGGAGAACCCGGCGGCCGCTTCACCCTGAAGATCCACATGCCACTGACGATGTTCGCCCCAGGAGGGGGGACAGCGTCAACGTAGGTGCCTGTGGACTTCCAGGAAGCCATCTCTGCATCCATAGCTGCCTGCCACTGAGAGGAGTAGGGACCCTCTATCGCCTCCGCGTAAGAGCGCGGAGTCGGGATGTCAAGTGCATCCGGGTCTCCCTCAGGGGTAAGCAGTACGGACACGAGATGAGGTGAGGCAGCTGCCAGACACTGGAACTCCTCCTGCCTGTCCTCAAGGACGTCCGTGCCAAGGGCACACTCACCCCCGACGGACGGAGGACAGACAGACTCAGACTCAGCGACAAGACTAGCAGCGTAGTCTAAGCGACAGCGAGCAGCAAAGTCGACGAGCTCAGTAACGAGAGCAGACGCAGCAGTAGACTCGAAAGAAGGGTCAGTGACGACAGTAGCAAGGAGACGCGTGACAGTAGGACTGGCAGCACGAAGAGAGTCCGACTCCGGGTCGGCAAGAGCAGGAAGAGAGGACTCAGGAGGAGAAGGCAAAGGGGCACGCAGAGGAGCAGTGGACGGACGCAGAGACATCCGGTGCGTGCCAGGGACAGGAGGAGGACGCTGACGCGAACCGCGACCACTAGTGCGAGCAGCACGGACAGGCGACGCAGGGCGAGACGCAGGCTCACGACGCTCAGCCAGACCTCCAGTAGGACCAGTGTAGGGAGAAGGAGCAGGCAAAGGAGAGGTAGGCTGCAACTGTAGCTGGGACGAGACAGGCTGTGGACACTCTAAGGGAGGAGGAGGACCAGTAGAAGGTGGAAGACCAAGAACCTGCTGCAGGAGTGGAACGAAGTACGGTCGAGGCCGCGCGGCGACGCTAGAAGCAGCAGGGACAGCACCAGAACCCTCAGCAGGAGCACCCGCTCCAGCAGCACCACCAGTAGCTCCAGAACCTCCAGCAGCACCAGGAGCACCCCCAGTAGGACTGCCAGCGGTAGTCTCAGCGCCAGCACCCTCAGCAGCACCAGCTCCAGTGCACCCAGGACGAGCACCTCCGGGACCCGCGACCGCAGCACCCTCAGCAGCCGAAGGACCTCCAGCACCAGCAGCACGCCTCCAGCGCCGGGCAAACCACTCACGCAGCTCCTGTGGAGAAAGTGGCTCCCGGCGAGACGAAGCACTCGGAGAACCTCCAGGCGGAGCACCTCCAGGCTCAGCACCCCCAGGCGTAGCACCCCTAGGCTCAGTACCCCCAGACGTAGCACCCCTAGGCTCAGCACCCCCAGGCTCAGCACCCCTAGGCTCAGCACCCCTAGGCTCAGCACCCCCAGGCTCAGCACCCCTAGGCTCAGCACCCCTAGGCTCAGCACCCCCAGACGTAGCACCCCCAGGCCCAGCACCCCTAGGCTCCGCACCCCCAGGTACAGCACCCCCAGCCTCAGCACCCTCAGCAGCACCAGAGTCACCAGTGACCTCGACAGGCTCGACTGCGTCTACCTGGGACACACCTGAAGGGGCAGGACCCTGAGGGGGGAGGGGGTCTACCTGGGGGGGACCTGGTACCAGGAAGAGTGGGGGTGGGGGGAGGGACGGAGTGCGGTAGGGGAAGAGGCGGGTAGTAGGGGACCGACTCGTCAAACGTGACGTCCTGGGAGGACAGAACACGGCGAGAGGTGGGGTGGTAAAACTGCCACCCAGGCGCGTCAGGGGGGAACCCCAGGAAGACGCAAGGAGCAGCACGAGGGGATAGTTTGTCCGCAGACAGGTCGCGGACAAACGCCCGAGATCCCCAGACCCGGAACGCCGACGCATCGCCAACCTTCCCCGTCCACAGCAAGGCTGGGGAGGTCTCCGGCCTGGAGACCCTGGGGTGGAGGTTGATCTGATGCGCCGCGTACCTCACCGCAAACGGCCACAGAAAATGGGGGGCAGCCGCATGCATCATAGACGTACGAGCGACGTCCATGACCATGCCAATGCGGCGCTCAGCAATCCCATTTTGCTGCGGTGAGTCCGGAAGCGTGAAGGTCTGACGGATGCCCCGTGCACGACAGTAGGCACGCAGAAGGCCAGAGGAGAACTCTCCGCCTCTGTCCGAGTGCAGACGCAGAACAGGAAAGTCCGAGCCGAAGCTCTGCCTGAGCTGGAGACGAGCTGCGCGGATCCAGTCGATCAGCACCTCAGTGACATCACCCTTGCTGCGCAAGGGGAAGACTGTGGTGTAACGCGAGTAGTCGTCAACAACGAGCAGGAAGTAGCGCTCGTGACCCTGTCCACGGACGCGGGCTGGGCCCCACACGTCCATGTGAAGTGTCTGCAACGGGGCCTCTGTCGGAGGAAACTGGGAGGAGTGAGGGGCAGCACGCAGGCGTCCCTCGACACAGGGGACACAGGCAGGGCCAGGGCCCTGAGGAAGGGGAGGGAGGGACCGGGGGAGACCGGACACAAGAAGACGGGAGGCCATACCTCTGAGCCGAAGCAGAGAGGGGTGGCCAAGGCGGTGGTGCCAGAGGAGAGTCTCGTGAGACAGGAGACGACACGAACAGGGGGCAGACTCAGGACCAGACCTGGACGCCGCAGCAAACACCTGACCCGACGTAACTACCCTACCAGACTCAGCAACTGGAGGAGACGCAGTGGTCAGAGTGTACAGGCTCGACCCCGGCTGACGGGTGAACGTAGCCAGGTGTCGGCCTGTGCCAGCCTCTGTACAGTGGGTCACTCTCTGACGTGCAGGAGTGAACTGGTGGACCCCCGCATCCTGTAGGTCAGCACCACTCACCAGGTTCGTAGAGAACGAGGGGAGGTAGAGACCAGACAGGGTGCCAGAGGGAGCCGCCGGACACGGGAGGACTGTGGAGAAGCGAGACAGGACAGGACCCCCAGAGGGGTCAGCCAGAGACACTGCAACCGGTCGACTCAGCGGTGTGAGTGTGGTGCGGTCCCGAAAGAAGGAGCGAGACGCCCCAGAGTCAAGGGTGAAGGTGAGGGAGGCCGAAGCCGACGCAAGTACCTGAGAGCGCAGACTCACCAGTACCTGAGGACGCAGACACACGAGCACCTAGAGCAGCAGCGTCGCAAGCACCTAGGGCAGCAGCCTCACCAGGACCTAGAGCAGCAGTCTCAATGCCCGGATCGGGCGGGAAACACCGGTAACAGTCACCCGCATCACTAATAGACACAGCATACATGGCAGAGAGAATAGCATCAAAGTCAAGATCATAGATGGCAAACACCCGCCCTAGACAGCTCGCCCCAGCGAGGGATCTCGGAG